AGTGAGGCCCGGCAGCTACGCCGAAAGATTTTATCAAGGCGATTGAGAAAAGGGAGTCGGCACGACTACAGGTGTCAAAGGTTGACATCTTCTAGTTTGAAGGGGAAAGAGTGTCCAAATGGCTAGAGCTGTTGGAACAGGTTACAGGCGAGGCATCAGATGTAGAGAAGTTCAAATTCCTACCCAGATATGTCTTGTGGGAAATCCGGCCCGAAATAATGAAGGTGGTTGCTGGAGCAGGGGGAGATTGGGCCAAGTTCAAAGAAGAAATGCAAAGACGTTTCAGACTGGGGGATGGTCTGCTAACGAAAACAGACCTAGAAATGTTGTAGCACCATGAGTTCTCCACTGTGGGGGCTTTCGCAACGACATTCGAAAAGATGGCAAGAAAAGTCCCAGGGATGGCTGAAGAAGAGCAGTTTGCAACCTTTTTGGGGCACTTCAAGAATTGAGAGGCTTCTACGCTGACCAAGAAGGCTGCGCTAGGGAAGAAGCTGATTTGGGCTGCCATAAAATAAGGCGTGGTAGATGGAGAGTTTGACCAAGTAGACATCTTCCAAATGTGGCAGGCTAGGAAGAAGAGGAAGGCCTTGGATGCCACGACGAGTGACAGGCGAGATTTTAAGAAAATGGTAGAGGATAGGGTCGCCCAACTCGATGCGGCGAAAGAGGCAAAAGCAACAAGAAAGGCTATGACAGCACCACAGACCCAGGGAAAAGCGAAGAAAGCAGTGATGCAAGAGGAGGAAAAGAGTGAGGAAGAAGGGCCTGAACCTCTAAAGCTAACGAAGGCTCAAAGAAAGGCAAAAATTTTGACTCAAGGGGGGCAAGGCTCAGGAAGAGGACAGGTCCAGCAAGCGACAGCACTGCCATCCCCTGAGCCGCCAAATCAAGCCGCGTCAGCACCCTATGGGTCGTGGCTGGGTTATGGACCTCCAAGTCCTTGGTCTGGGCACTATTCATACGTATCATGGCCGGTGAGTGGACCGCATGGATCATGCGCAGGAGCGTCACTAAGCACGGCTTCCTGTGGGTGTCCGGGACCCTAGTCTCAACATGTAAGCCACCCAATCTCAACATGTAAGCCACCCAAGTCCGCAGCCAAGCCAACCTCAAAAGTCGGCCCCACAAGGATCGCAAGGAAACCAAGGCGGCGGACGCAGACAGAATCAAGGATGGGGCCAGGGGCGAGGCAATGGTAGCCGAGGAAGAAATGGAAGGGGAAATGGAGGTGGTAATTCCACAGGAGGAGGTAATGGGGACTGGAATGCGTCTGGGAGTCAGGGCAGTCAGGAAGGTGGACGAGACTTTGGTAGAGGAAGAATAGATTGGAGGAATGTTATTTTCTGGCATTGTGGGCAGAAAGGCCATACCATTAAGTTCTTCCATGTCCGACGAAACGATGAGGACGAAGGTCTAATCAGCACCAACTATGATGGGGATATGTACGTTACCTTGACCCAAAGACCCCTTGCGGCACAAGGAAGGAAGCCCTATGAAGAGCCGAGGCCGGCGCGCCACCCGCTCCTCCGGCTATGTTCTGGATGTGGCAAGAGAAAGAAGTCCGCTGCGACATCAGGGTGGAAGAGGTAGGAGAAAACGAGGAAGTGGAGCAAGAAAGGAAAACCGGCACCATCAAGGAAGAGTTGATCATAGTAGAATCGGATGACGAGATAGAGGAGGACTGTTGGAATGAGCCACGCCATGCAAAGATAGGGGAAGAGTACTGGAAAGACGCCCGACAAACAATGGAGAGGATGGAGGACTTAGTGGCTAAAGTAGGGCGGTACCAGCAGAAACTGTCCGATATGTGTGAAGAAGTCGAAGAGTGGAGAGGTAAGGAGCCACTGGTGTACCTTTACGATATGGGTTCAGGATCACAAGGTGGATCTGGAAACTTATCAGGCGTCACGATTTCAGGGTCGGCGCCTCGGTCCGGCATGGCTTATAGGCCATCCTCCAGGACAGGGAGAATACCACATGCTGTCAGGACAAGGGTCAAGAGGCCGGTGAGCCCCGAGGAGCCAGCAAAGGACGTTCCTAGTCCAATGGGGAGAAAGAGGTTGTAGGTGTTCCAGAAGGAGAGGATAAGGAGGACGATAGGCTGAGAAAAGAAGAGGATGAGAAGGCTGAGCAAAGGGCCAAAAAGAGAGGCGCAAAGCCTGGCACGGACAACCCCTCAGAAGTGAAGAAAAAGAAGTACGCTGTCCGGGTAGAGGAAGGGTTTGACGTAGAGGAGATCCTGGACAGGATCCTGGAGGGTCATAACTATGTTATGAACCTAAAAGACGTTCTGGCTTCGACGCCAAGGCTTAGAGATGAGCTAAAAGCGCGGTTTTCTAGAAAGATGGTGACCAGTGTTCGATTGGGGACCATAATCCCTAAGGAGGCAGAATGGGCTGAGACCGGAACCAAGATGGATTAGAAGTCCGTGGTATGTGGGTGCCTAGATGTAGAGGTGAAAGAGAAGACTTGCACGACGATGGTGGATAGTGGCGCAGAGATGAACCTTATAAAGGAGGAGCATGCTTTGCGCCTAGGGATGAAAATAGACCGCTCTAACAATGGAGTCTTAATGGGGGCGAACAATCAGTCGATTTTCATAGGGATCGCATCATAAGTGATTCAGGAAATCGAAAAAGTGAAAGTAAGGAGTTGCTTCTTCGTGATGCCTGATCTTCACCACCCTATTCTACTTGGTAGGTCGTTCCTAAGTCGAACAGAAACCGTTATACTCAACAAGCATGACGAAACTATGTTCCTCGTCCTGTGTGATTTAGTATGCGGGAACTATGAGGTTATAACTTGCAAGAACACAGGACCTAGGAGTATAAGGAACCGGCCCAACCCCGGTTCTTTTACTATAGAAGAATCAGAAGAGGAAAAATTGAGGATAGAAAGCAGCAAGTTCGAAGAGGAAAGAGGGTCAGAGGCACTGACCCTTAGCCTGACGAATATAGGTGATGCTATGAACATAGTGTCGACCTATGGGATGACGGATCCAGAGGCTATGGAAGCCTTAAGAGAAAAGGTGGTGGAACAAATGGGAGCAGGAGAAATAAAGTTGATATACCGGGCTCCAGGAAGGGTAGGTGGAGCAATTGCAGCCTAGCCCCAAAGCGCAACTCGACCTTTTTTAGGGGTGGGCTCAAGCAGGGGGCACAAAGGCAGTACAAAAGAGTAGATTAAAAGTGCTGCCCTATTCCCGTACTCGTGGTTGAACAACAAGAAGTTTACTACGAGCGAGAACAAGAGTTGATACGGCAGATGCAGGAAAACGCAGAGAATGGGCCATGTCGTATCACCCCTGAGACAGAGAAGGCGCTGATTATAAGAGAGTCTGGCTTCCTTACAGCGCAAGAAGAGAAGCTTATGGTGAAAACCATAAGAGGAAGGTCCGCCGCGTATGCCTTCAGTAATGATCAGAGAGGTCGTTTGGACATGGAATAATCCCGATGATTAGGATACACACCGTGCCGCACGAACCATGGAACTTGCGAGGTGCGCGCTATCCTAATCCGGCTGATGAAGAGAAGGTAGTTAAATACCTTTACGGAAAATTTGCACACATGTGGCAGACCACTTAAGTGAACCGTATGCATCCCCCTAGTTTTGCTTTCTCAAACCCAATTGGACGTTGAGGTGGGTACAGGATTTGCAGCGCTTGAACGCTGTAACAGTGAGAGACGCAGGTGGTCTCCCCAACGCTGATGCGCTGTCAGATGTCTGCACTGCGAGAGCCATAATATTTGTCATAGATTTATATTCGAGTTACGACCAATTTCCTATATACCTAACAAATAGGCCTATGACAGCTATGCATACCCCTCGAGGGTTAATCCATATGAACGTCGCACCGCAAGGGTGGACGAATGCGGTTGCCATGGTCCAGAGGCACATGGTGAGGGCGATGCAGTCCATAAACCCTCACATTACGCAACCCTCTATTGATGATCTGGTCGTGAAAGAGCCTAAAACAGCCAATTCGTCAAAACGGACATATTATGTTTTTTGAACGAAATCAAAACTGATTATTTTTGTCAAAATCCGATCGAAATTTATTGCTCCTGGGGTCCTGCATGGGAACGCCGGATCCCCTACATGTATCTGGTCTATGGTTGAGACCAGATACAAAAAAAAATAAAATTGTATCTGGTCTCAACCATAGACCAGATACATATGTGGGGTCCGACGTTCTGGGAACACCGGACCCCCAGGAGCAAAAAATTCCGACCGGATTTTGACAAAAAAAATCAATTTTGATTTCGTTCAAAAAATATAATATGTTCGTTTTGACGAAATGACTGTTCTAAGGAGAAGGATAAGCAAGAGGTGATGCCGGGAGTCAGGCGTTTCGTCTGGGATCGTGTGCAAGACTTGGGCAAGGTCCTGGACCTTCTGAAGGAGCATAACCTCACTACCAATAGGCTGAAGTCAAGGCACTGCATGAGCGGAGCCACTATCTTAGGATTTGTGCGCGACGAGAGGGAAGACCAACAAGATTCTTGAATGACCAACACCCGTTCGAGACCATTACGGAAGTAAGGAGCTTTTTGGGGACGTGTGGATTCTGGAGGATCTTCATAAATGGGTTTGCGGCGAAAACTGAGCAGCTGCGAAAGCTTGTGCGTCAGGGTCAAGATTGGGAGTGAGGAGATAGGCAAGAATCGGTGATAGAAGGTCTGAAGAAAGAGTTTTAGAAAGGACGTCTAGTACTGGGGGTACCAGATCATGCGGCAGCGATGACCAGACCTTTCATTGTTGAAACAGACGCAGAGCCGACTGTTTTAGAAAGTGTGTTGATTCAACGAGACCCCAATGGAGAAGAACGACCACTAAGGTTTGAAAGTAGGACGCTTAATACAGTTGAGAGGAACTACTCTCTGTTTAAGCGCGAAACCTTGGTAGTCACTGTTTAAGGATTTTAAGGAACTATCTATTTGGCAGTAGGTTTGTACTAAGGGTGGACCCAACGGCTCTAGCTGGTTTTCTCGAGAACTTCGCTCCCTCAGATCCAACTATCGCCAGGTGGCTAACGTACATCTGGATGTTTGACTTCGAGTTGGAGCGAATTCCGGGCAACAGGAATAGAGCAGATGGGCTGAGTCGAGTCGACTGGGGCAAGAACAGCCAGAGAGTAATCGAAGATGCTCCACCTGTTGACGGGTTCCTGGACAGTGAGAAGGATGTGAGACTTCACATCAACTCCTGGTCATTGGTCGTGGGTAACTATGTTACTCATGGACGACCTGCGTGGCTTACGCCACCAAGACATGTGCGACGACCTGATCTAGTCCTCAAGCCCTATATTGAAGAAGACTCTTGGAGAATATCAGGGGTGGATTGGATGATGGATCTGACCTTGGCAAACAAGTACCAACTACATGAGGACTTGCTTACGATTGAGGATGGAGCGCTGCAGGTAGGCAAGCAGGAGAAGACGATAGGTGGGATGTATCTGTTGGCGAATGCAATGCTTCAGGAAGAGGCGGTCAGGAATACGGGGCAAAAACAAGAAGAGGGTGATAATGTGGTCCACAAAAGAGAAAATGACGATTTTGAAGAAGGAGAGATTAAGGAAGCATTTCGAGCAGAGGAATATGAAGGAGTATACCTTGAACTCGGAATGCTTCTTTCATGTGAAATGAGGGAATGAGACGCTTGCGCAAGAGTTCTAAAGATGGGGTCAAGCTTTCTAGTAAGGGATGACCACTTGTTCATGAGAAGTAAAGGGAAGGCTCCCAGAAGAGTAGTCTGCGGCGTCGCTCGCCAGATTGCCGTTATGGTAGCACTGCACGCTAGTACGGCGGGTGGCCACAAAACTACAGATACGACATATCTCAAGATACACGAGCTGTGTTATTGATATGACATGGGGCAGATGATCGACGATTATTTTAAGTCTTGTGTACCATGCCAGGAGCGATCCTCTATTAGACCTAGGGAGCCGCTTCACCCAAGATATGTTCATGAAGTTGGCGCGGTCGTGCACCTGCATCTGTTGGCAATGTCGCTGGGAATAGGAAGTTATAACTTTATCTTTGATGCAAGGGACAACCTCTCTAGGTTTGTGGATGGCAGGGTCATTCGCACGAAGACTGGTGAGACACTGGCCCAATACATTGAAGAGTATTACCTACGTTACCCCTTTGTCTCCAGGTTTGTGATGGATAGAGGGTCCGAGTTCACCTGTGCGGAAGTAAAGACTCTTTTGAAGAGGTATGGGATAATTGCCGAGAACACTACTGTGGCGCACCCCCAAGCTAATGCATCGGTGGAGAGGGGACATAGCACCATTACGAATCTTTTCGCCAAGTGGACAAATGGCAGGCCCAATCAGTGACCGAATTTTCTAAGGGTAGTTTTCTTTGTGGATAATATCACTGTCAGGAGAAGCACTGGCTACGCACCGGCCACATTATGGTATGGCAGACACGCAACGTTTCCTATCGAGAGCTTCCTAAAGACCTGGAGGCGACAGGACCTCGAGACTAATAACATAGAATTCGTGAAAACCTAACAAAATAAATTGTTAGGTTTATTGTTAGGTTTGCACGAAAAATTTTACAAATTCATATAATACTTTTTCCAGGCCTCCTACATAAACAATTTTTTATGTGAAGTAAATTAACCGCAAAAAAATAATAGAAAACTATTTTTTCAGAACCACTAGAAGTGATGAGGAGAGAAACACGTTTTTTTACAAAAAATTAGTACCTTGCAAGACACCGTTAATTCAGGAACTGAAATATCACAATATTTTGTTTAACTAAAAAAATCATATTTATAGTTTTGTAAGGTATGTAGCACGACGAACCTATTCGGGGGTTTCCCAAACATGCACACATGCTCTCCTATTCACGAATACATTCGCTTGGATATGTCCTCTCATGCATGGACGAATTTCATTTTTTAATTTTAAATCATCGTTGGCTAGGAATTTAAAGATGTCCCTCAGGCAAAAGTTGTTTTAATTCTTCTTTTACACAAGATATATTTTTTGACAAGGGTTTTACAGTTAACTTAAAAATGAAGTTATCCTACCCCTTAAGGCGTATTAGCCGCGGGGGCTGGCCGATGGCGAGCTGCGCGTCGTGCCAAGGGGTCGAAAATGCACAACAGTGGTACGATGAACAGGATCGGCGGGTAGGTAACAGCCGCAGGTGCATTTTAATAAGTTGTTACACTTTGAGAACGAATGTGGTGAGGCCGCCCACGCAGGCGGTGGGGCAAGGACCATAGATGAACGCCAATATCTTGCAAGGGGAGTCATTCGATAGTTGAATTGTCGTTTTGCCGTTTTTTTTTTGTTTTGTTTTTCTTTATCAGATATGCGGCATTGCTTTTGGGCGTAGCCACACCACTCTCGAAATGTGCAAAAGACAAAACTGTGGTGGCCCTGGTGGGTGCATCTAGCAATGCTCTAGAGAGAAGTTCGTTCTCATTTCGGACATTTCGAGAGTGGTGTGGGCCCGTGTGGCCATGCCCTTTGTCGTTTCGTTTTTACGTCTTTTTTTTTTCCCTTTTTATTCTGGGCAAGGGTCATCCTGCCGTTTT